TAATTACTTTTCCAGACTTGTAAAAAACATGTCTACCCCCGCATACCTCACGTACCAACGCACTAAGTCCCCCTGTCGCCCGCGCTTAATGGCTTCGCTTAATTACCTGCAGTGATCGCTTCAGTGAACCCGCTATTAAGCAACCACGGGTCGTGCAGGGGAGGTTCACGGGCGGATCGATACGTAACAGCTGTCGGTAATGAGTAACAGCTGTGGTTAAATCGAAGTCAGGACACAAAGAACTTTCTACTTTTGTCTACAATAGCACACCCCTACCCTCAACCCCGACCATCCCTCTCAATCCCCGACCATCGGTCTAAACCACCCTCACCCCTCTCCGTTTACTATTAAACATACATACAATCAAATAAACAAACCAACAAATTAAACAACAAAGAAAAGAAATATATCAAATAAATTAAACAAAGTAATTAAAATCAAATTAATTAAAATGAATTTCAAACAAATAAGCAAATTACGTAACTCGTTAATAAAAATTAATAAAAATAATACATTAAAATTACAAATTAAAATTTAAAAAAAATTAAACTAATTAAAAAATCAAATCCACTCCCTCCCTCCCTCCCCCTCCGTCTGCCTCAAATCCACTCCCCCTCTCCCCTTCCCCCTCCCTCCCCCTCCGCCTGCCTCAAATCCACTCCCCCTCTCCCCTTCCCCCTCCCCCTCCCTCCCCCTCCCTCCCCCTCCGTCTGCCCAATTTTCCTACAAATTCTGGTGTTAGTATGAGTCACGTCTGCTTTGAGCGCCTATTAAGTTTACAGGATGAAATTTTAAAAGCCTTTGATGAATTGGAGAAACGTTAATAAACAAATAAAATATAAGAAGACTTTTGTTCTAATTTAGTGTGTGTGTGTGTGTGTGTGTGTATACGTGTAGCATACGCGTACTAGAAAACCAACAAGGTAATGTCCGGTTGCTCAACCTAATTACACCACCAGCTGTCGCACAACAGCTGTTGCATAATGACCTACGTACTTCACGGAGAGGCACTTAATGTACGTCGTTAATTACCATAACCTGTCAACCGCTCGGGGGAAACTCGGTGAAGCATAACAAAAATTTAATTAGGTGTGATGGGCCAGCGGCTGCGATCAATACATTCCCATTAAAACGGGCAGCGGTGAGAAAACTTCGCGGGCGGGTCGATACGTAACAGCTGTGGCTGATCGTTATCTTTAATGGATGTTCTATTTTTGTAACGTTCGTTGTGGTGGAGAATTTAACCTGTTTTTTGTACACGGTCGTTGTATGGGAGAATTTAAAACATACATACAACCAAATAAACAAACCAACAAATTAAACAACAAAGAAAAGAAATATATCAAATAAATAAATTAAACAAAGTAATTAAAATCAAATTAATTAAAATGAATTTCAAACAAATAAGCAAATTACGTAACTCGTTAATAAAAATTACACAATATAAACAAAGTAATTAAATTAAACAACAAGTAAACAAACTAATTAAACAATCAAAGTAATTAAATTACATAACTAGTCAATAAAAATTCAAACTAATTATAAAATTAAATTAAAATTACGTAACTAGATACAAAATAAATAAAAATCAAATTAATTAAACTTATTAAAAATAAAATAATTAAATTAAAAATAAACAAAATAAAAATAATTAAAAAGTTAAAATCAAACAAATACAAAATAAATAAAAAATCGAATTAATTAAACTTATTAAAAATAAACAAACAAAACACAAACAAAGTAATTAAAATCAAATTAATTAAAAAACAATAAAATTACGTAACTAGGTCAAAAATTAATTAAAATTTAAAAAACTCATTAAAACTAATTTTAAAAAAACGCATTAAAATTACGTAACTAGGTCAATGATTACGTCATAATGTTACTAATTACGTCACAAGGTCACCGGTGGTGACCTACTGACCTACTCCCCCACCTGCTCACCCACCCTAGGGTGGGTGAGTATTTTACTATATCTCATTGTCCCAGGCTGCTCACCCACCCTCACCCACCTTCACCCAGGTGGGTGAGTATTTTCCTATATGTCATTGTACCTCCGGCTCACCCACCCTCACCCAGTTGGGTGAGTATTTTGCTATATGTCGGTGTACCTCCTGCTCCCCCAGGGAGTATTTTACTATATCTCGTTGTACCTCCGGTTCACCCGCCTCACCCAGGTGGGTGAGTATTTTGCTATATGTCATTGTCCCAGGCTGGGGGAGTATTTTCCTATATATCCTTTGCTCCTGCTCCTGCTCCTGCTCACCCATACTACCCAAAAGTGACCTAATATACTACTAACACATAAGAGAAACAAACTAGAAATTCTTTTGGCGAGATTTGTATTGTATAAGTTCCTCACTCTTATCCACTATTGTGATTTTTCTAGAGCCCATGTGGTCAGTGATTCTTTCAGACATTTTTTCCGGGGCGGGGGAGGCACTTGAAATTTTTGGGGTTTGGTAGGAGCGGACACTGCTAAAAGCATATATTTTCTATATAAATTCTATTTCGTTCAGGGGGGGGGGGTAGACTTTATTCAGATGCTTAATAGAAACTCTGCTTGTAGTGAATCGTCACTAATTAGTAGTGTATTTAATATGGCCACCGACATCTAGATCTCTATAGGTCTTGACATTAGCCATGTATTCAGAGTGTAAGAGTATGTTACGGACAAGGTCCGGTATCGTCTAAATAGTCGAATGACCTGCAAAATCGGGAAATGACCGGCAAAATCGGGAAATGGCTAATATCGCCTTACATTCATCGCGCAGTTGAGATCATTTCTTCGTGCAGAATGGAAACTCTTTCTGGAATAACGTTGATTGACAGCACTGTATTATCTTCTTCGCTTGTAGAATGCCATCTCAATGTTCAAAGCAACTGCAAGACGTTCCGTGGACCACCGCGACTTCTTTCAACGTCTGGTACACGGATGTATACCATCCGCTGTTGGGAATTTCGGCATCTGAATTTTTGGGCATGTTAATACGTTGGGTTTGCAAACTAGTATGAGCCTGATCTCCAGTTCCTGATCTCCTGTTTATTATAGCATTGTACCCTTCGTCTGATTTATTGCTGACTCCACAAAATACATTGACATTTTTGTCACAGGATTCACAATATTGAGCTAAATTACACACTTTTTCAGACGGACACTAAGTCAGAGGCGTAGCGAGGGGGGGGGGGGACGACACATGTCCCCGGGCGCCGACCTTAGGGGGCGCCAAAATGGGTTGGAATAATAAATTGAAAGGTTGAGGGGGGTACAAATCGAAATCTTGAGGGGTGGGGTGCAATCAAAAGTTTGAGGGGGGGGGGGGGGGGGTAAAAAACGAAATCTTGAGGGGGTGGGGGGGTGCAAATCGAAAGTTTGTCCCCGGGCGCCGGGAAGGGTCGCTACGCCTCTGCACTAAGAGTCAGCTGTGAGCAGTTTGGTTACGGTTGGCTGATTTCTCGCATGTGAGTCGACTATTGACTATTGAAAGGAGAGGAAAATTGTATTTTTAAGATATCGAAAGCTATTGATCAGGGTTTTAAAGATTTTTTTTAGAACTAATGAATACAAAGTGGAAAATGAAACTAATATAAAAACCTATATTAATAAGCTTTTAAATGCACCGTTTGCTAAAATATGTAATATAGGCCTATTTGTGTAATATATTTCCTTACAAGCTTTCAAATGAATTCTATAAAATAATTTAACCCACGTTTTAATGTATTATATAAAATAGCTAGATCTGTTAACAATTCATTATTGGTACTTTCGAAATTTAGTATAGGCCTTTTTTGCTTTATGATAATAGTTTAAACAATGAAGCTTATTCAAACTCGATTAAAAAAGTGTGAAAACGCGCTATCCAAATTAAATTGATAGTAAATCGAACACATCTTTGAAACGGTGACGAACCCTAAGTTTATTAATTTAAAGTTTCTCACATTAGGCCAATCTTAATTGTTTGCATTGTTACATTAAAATACTTAGCTTGGTACTTCGGTGAAATGTGGAATAACGTGTTTTTGTGTTTGTAAACATTGCCCCTGTTTGTCAGAGGTGTAGCCACCCATGTGACCCATTTCGGCGCCCGGGGCGAGCTATGGATTTTGCGCCCCCCCCTTTATATAGCCTAGTTATCCACGGCGAAAAGCCCTCCCCATTTTGTTTTTGTTTTTTATTTTGGTGTCTCACAATTAATGTATACTATGGTTGGGTAAGTCCGTACAGCTACGTATAAGTCAATTTTCTTAATTTCAACTGTGTACAGTTCAGTAATGCAGAGCTCAACATGAGCTTATCATTTATCTTTTCCACCCAATTTGGTGCCCATTAAGGTTGGCTCCCGGGGCGGCCGCCCCATCCGCACTCCCCTGGCTACTTCTCTGCTTTTTGAAGTTCTTGCGATTAGGCTGAATGAAAATCTTACTCGATAGAGCAGACCACATTACCCCTTAATCTGTTTAGGTCACAGAAACAGCCCCTGTTGCATGGGTAGAAAACAGCAGAATGCCTACTTATATTCTCAGACCGCTTGAGCCAGCCTATTTACCTTTGTTTATTGACGATCCTCAGACCGTCACTCTCTAGACATTTTCTTTATGAAATGAACGAGTAGCTCCAAACAAAAACAGAACTGTTACTGTTAGATGAAATGCGCAAGAGAAAGCATAACAATAATTTTGATAGAGAAAAAAAAAACTGTTGAGTCTATTTCAATTTTCATGACACGATGTGCAATATTATATTGATTTAATTTATTTGGCAGCCTAGTGTCAACACATACTTTGCATTTTGACAAAAATTAGATGCTTTAGTGGAACTTACGAATCTTAATTAATTTTTTTTAATGTAGAAGATCTAGGGCTATTATTAATTTTATTGTCGTTTTTTTGTATTTAAATAGGCGCCTATGTACACAAATTAATGTGTATATTTTCGTATATATATTCCGGTGATCAATTTTATTCCAAAATTGTTATTTACGTCACGACTTAGTGCGCAATACTTCATGAATAATTTTTTTAGAGTCAGAAGGAGGCAGTGGATTTGCTAGGAGGGTTGCACCATGTCGGATCGAGAGAGTGGAGATGAACAACAACAGCCGCAGGCCCAAGGTATCTATTATGTACCTATCAATTAAATATTATGCCTTACTGCCTAAAACCATTGTTTTGCATTTTAACACTCTAGGAATATGTAGGTCAGTTATGCTTTGCTATGGAGCTGGACGCGGCGGCGAGGTCAGAATGATTCGGCGGTCGTCGCTCGTGAGTTTAAAAATAAACATCGTCTACCAGAAATTGAATAAAAACAACGTAATTTTACATTGTGCGATTGCATCCTAGATTTAGTTGTAAACCCAACATTGTATAGTGCTAATTGATAAATGATCGTACAATGAGCAACTATTAGAGAGATTGCAGTTAATGTTTCATAAATAAATAAATATTTCATTTCACCAGTAAACTTCACAACAAATGATTCAAAAAACATGGCGGACAGATAAAAACAACAACATTACTTTTAGCATTTCTGTAGTACACTAGTTAAATTATATTCAGAATTTGGCTATTAATTAGATCTAAATATCTTTATGCAACAGCTCTGTAGATCTAGTTTGCTCAGTACTGGTGCCTAAGTTTGAGAAAGGAAAATAAACTGTTGAAGTAGACATTTTCCCAGCATGTGTGTGTGGGGGGAGGGGGGGGGGGGACAGAAAGGCTTACCAACAATAGCAGGATTTTGAATAATTATACACATTGAATGTCTAAATAAAGGTAAAGTTAAGCCTAAAGGGTAAGCAAAGACATTTTTATTTCAAAGCTTTGTTGTTGGCCTAGTGACTAGTGTGTGTATCAGCATCAATCGTTGGGGCGTCTTCAAATATTGGTTCAATTATCAATAATAGTATGCAAGTGGATATCATATGCATCAGCTTATATTTTGAGAGAATGAACTAAAGCATTTACTTTACAATTAGACATAATGCCTATTTCTTGTAATGTATAATATAAATACACCTGATTTAGATATAGGCCTACCCCTGACACACTTATGTACAAGAACAGTGTACTTTATTCTAATTTATAGGATATAGCCTTGATTAAAAGCAAAATAACATAAACTAGGCTTATATGAAACATCCACTTGGCCTATACAGTATTATTTTTAAGTTTTAATGTACTGAGTCTATATAAACAAAGCTAAAGGCCCCCTTAGTAAAAAGAATAATAATATAAGCTAAGCTTTGTAGTTTTATAAATGAATAAATGTACAAAGATACTAATATAAATATATATAGGCACATACTTAATAGATAAGGACATGTTCATATAATTAACTAGTATTTTAAAAAGAATAAAAGCATGTTCATTAGAGGAAATTATAACACTTGCCTGTGTAGAAAATTGTTTACAAACTCAAGAAACTGATTACCAAAAGAAGGTCTGCAAAAATTTGGATTTCAAGCAAAGGTCTCTACTCAAGTCAGCTGTTGGTAACATAACCAAAGGACAAAAAAACATTTGCTTCAAGCTCATCCTGTGCCAATCAACTCAGGGTTGAGAGCAGACTCCTTTCTTGATAATAATTGTAGCATATTCTGATCATCTACCTTGCTTAAAAATCAGCTGAATGACAATCTATTCTTCATCACCCAAAATTCTTACCAGAAATAGTGTCTGCATTATTGTTTACTCAGGCTGAGACATACACTTCTTGCTCTCCTTTGTTCAGCAGCTTCCAACATTTTTTTTGTTCTTAGTTTGCATCAGAATGCCTATTTTGTGCTGAAACAGTATGCTGGTTTTTCTTTTCCAGGGCCACCTTGCATTTTGAAAGTAGCTAGTTTAACCTCTTTTATTGACTATTTTGTCTATACTTTTACTACTGCCGTTTAACTTAGGATTGTTGCTGTTCAGTTGAATTAACATCAGTTCATTTTGCAGCTTATCCTTGAAGTTACTGTGTATTATAAAACTGGTCTCAGAAACCCTTGTGTATTTTCTTATGTCCTAGCAATAATGGAAAATGGGGCAGCTTGATTATCTTTCTTAGCTGCATGAATAACTGATACTGCTAGCCCAATTTAATTTCTTTTTCCTACATACTTTAATAAAAACTTGTAGGTTTTTTACATTTACACCATACATACATGCTAGCTGATCCTCATTCTCGCTAGTAATTATCTGTCAGACTTCTCAATAAGCTTTATTTTTTTCATTACAAGTGTGTCCTGGCTTCTTTTAAAACCTCTATATCAGTGGTTCCCAACCTTTTTCGAGTGGCGACCCCCTTTTATAAAAATTAAGCGACCCGCGACCCCCATAGAATTAAAAAGCCGAAATTAGTATGGAAATTAATAAGCACTAAAATAAGATTTTCTAGTAGACTTTCAATATGAACTACTCTTGATAACTGTTGTAATACCATGAGTAAAATTGCATACTATTCACTAAACATTCGCGGTTAATTTTTTTTTAAAGTATTTTTTTGTTAACGCCAACCTATGTCATTATCATTATCTTAATTTTGTTTTTAAAAAAAGTGTTCAAAATAAAATTATATTCTCGAAAAGTCAATCAATTTTACGTCTGGATATAAATGGTTAATACTACACCAAAATTGTGTCTGAAGTTTTTCATCTTACGCGGAATCATTCTACAAATCAAAGAATCTTAGAATTCATCTTGTAATTCATCGGGAATGCTGGCAACATCAAGGGAAGAAGAGAATGGATAATGCGTCAATGCAGATTCTTTTTTTTTTCAGCTCCGAGAAGTAGCGCTGCAGTTCGTTATCAAGAGATTCAAGATGCCTAGAAATTTCTTCTTTCAAAATTGTAATTATCTCACAATTAGATTCATCTACCACACTGCAGAGTTTCTCAAATTTACAATATTTCCAAGATTTATTTTCTTCGCCGATTTTGCAGCTTTGATAAAAATGCCCCGAGATTATCATGGAAAGTGATAATATTCGTTCATTTTCCATGAAGCTTCAGGTTATGCTTATGTTGATGTTCGAACACATCTGCTAGGTATGCTACTCTCTCCAACCACTCTAAGTCGTTTTAAGTATACCAAAAGGTCTTGATTCGTTTGCATTTACAAGAACAATTTGATTTCAGATTTCAATTCAAAAACACAATTTACAACCATTCGTTTGACAGCCAGCGTACTGTAGTGTAGAAGAGAAGAACCTCGTGATATTTATTCAGGTCTTTGCTCAGTTCTTTGAAGGCTCCAGATTTTATATAATTTACCACTTATAGTAGCAATGGAGTCTTGATGGTGATTGGTGAGGGCAGTGGTTAGGGAGCTAAATCTTTTCTGCTTTCTGAAAGCCCGATTTTGACCTAAACATAGATGGTGCACCATCCGTACACATCCTCACAGCCGTTTTAACGCATTTTAATCATCCAATTTTTAAAAAAAACGTATTTATTTTCTCCATGCTATCTTCACAAAAGAGCAACTCTTCTTTGCTATCATCTGAATAAATATAGACAAAGACCAGCAACTGCGAACACGAACTCGCGTCTGTTGATTTATCAACTTGAAAAGCAAACAATGGTGAAAGCTTGATTTCAATAAAAATGTGTTATTTAACATCTACGGACATGTAAGAATTAACTTCACCATCTTCAACATGCAGCGTTTGATGAGATTTTCTCCTATTGTGTTTTTTTTTTTGCTTGGCTTTTTCTGTCACGACTTCATGTGATGCTTGCACTAATGCTGTGTTTCCTTGGTGAAACTTCCTGTTCGATCAAGTCTCTGACGTTTGCAACTAGCTTCATACCGACGAAAGAACTCCATATCTTTTTTGGTGTGTTTCGAATGACTCGTGTCAAATGATGTTTTAGTTTTGAAGATTTCATAAACTCGTGACTGAGAACAACTTTGTACAGTACGCTTTGCTTCTTCTCTATTCCCTTTCCAGTGATGTTAGTAAAGACGAATTTCAAAAATTCTTCTAAATATTTATGTGTTGTTTCCAATTACTAAGGTTTAGTATACCAGTTGGCGACCCCCCAGAAAGCCCTTCGCGACCCCCAGGGGGGTCGCGACCCCCAGGTTGGGAACCAGTGCTCTATATAAATAGTTATCCACCAGCCACCCCATCTCACATTTATTAGTATCCATTGTTCTCTATTCACCAACCCCTTTGTTGAGATGCCTCTTTTCCTGTAATCTATGCAGTTTTTTTAAGATTTAATTTTTGTAGTCATTAATAGTTTACCACTTTTCTGTTGGTCCATTAAAAGCTGCTTCTTGTCGGGGAAAATTCATTTTCCTTAATTCCACCACATACTTTTCTTCTATAATTAGACATGTTTTCTCCACATGTTCAAACTTTTAATTTAAATTTTAAAAATTGTTCTAGTTTCTATTTTAAGTTTATTTATTGTTTACTAAAATTGAAGTGTTTCTGATTTCTCAGAACTTAGATAACACTTTTTACTTCTTAAGCTATAGCCAGTCAGGTAGTCATTGCTGGTACCGGTAGTTAACTACCTCTTCAGCAGCAGACACGACTTCACTAGCATAATTACCATCAATACAATAACTATGCTCTTCCATACATCTTGCAGGACCTGACAGCATAGTAGCATCACCTGTGAAAAAAGAATCATTAGACATTTCCTCAACAGATGAAGGTCCAGCTATAGAAAATTCCTTACCACCTAAAGCAATTCCTTCATCAGGTAACTCTGTAGCTGTCGAATTCTCTTTTTACGGTTGAACAAAGATATGATGGTTCTGTAAATCCATCTGATCCAAGTTTCAGGCTTATTTGACTATAAGATGTTTGGCTTCGTCAACCTGATTACTGCTCATCAAACCTGCTTTGTATTTCTTATGAACCAGAGGTTACTTTAATGCCAACTGCTCATTTGATACATGGATTGAGATCGGAGTCCACCAGATGTGCAAGATGTGCAATAGTTCCATTCAAAATGGGGACTGATGGTTCCGAAAAAGAAGCTTATGGTTTAAAAAGATATTTAGGCTTAATAAATATTCAGTACAGGAGTCAAAAAGGAAGAGAATAATTAAAAAATACATTTAATGAAGTTAAGTTAATAGTTGTATTGTTTGCCACTTAGAGCTACACAATAGGTACCTAATTTCTTGCTCAGGTCATAAAAGACTAATGCAGCCAAAGTTTTAGGTTGGCCCGCCTGCAAAACAATAGTGGAAACCAGAAATTTTGCGTGGGGGGGGGGGGATGCCAACATTATTGACAGCCTAATTATGTGACTAGTGTATGATGCTGTAACACACACTACAGTTACTAATTGCTAGATTTCCTGCTTTTCATCTACTAGCTATCTGGTTTGTTTTCATGTAGAGGCCTGTTAATTTCATATTTTATTTCTATGAAAACTCTTCACTGTGCCACTTGTATATCTGTATTTAGCAACTAGTTCCAAGTTTTTATGTAGCTGATAATTTTAAATTCTTGTATCTGATTTAAAACATTACAATCTCAACCCTTTCTTGATACCAAACATAAGGTTCATTCAGGATTTTCGAAAATATTTTTAAGATGCAGAATTCATACTTCAAACCAAGCTCTAATGTTTTCCACTTATTTAAAGCTGTCTGGCATATACAGCAATGCCATCTATTTTTTACTCTTGAAAATTAATAATGCAATATTGCATCAAACCAGTTCTAAATTATTTGTTTAAAGTTCACTAGAGCTGAGCAAAAATAAAACTGCACAGTTGTGTCCACCATATTGTAGATTGCAACGGCAAATAGTCCACATCTGAAAACAAGCTAACACATGTATATCAGGATTTCTCTACACATCTTCTCATCTAAAATATTTTTGAACATTTTCTAGACTTCCACTCCTTGAAGTTTGTTAGACATTAGGCTACTGAGTATGTGCATTTTTTTATTTTTAATATACAAAGGAATTAATTTTTTATTGGCAATATTTTTCCACAGAAGCTTCAGATCCTGGTAAGTTATTTTTAAATAGTTTATCAGGATTATCATCAGCTAGTCATTATTGTTAGTTTAGCAAAATTAAGTGCATTATGTAATATGATTTTTTTTGCAAGTAAAGTGTCTTTTTAAATTTAGTAATAGAACTTTTTTCTCCTCATAGGTGGGTCTGCGGAGCAGGAGCTGGCCACACGAACACTTCACATTCAGTCCAAAAGATTTTACCTGGATGTGAAACAAAACAGACGAGGCCGCTTCATCAAGGTGGCTGAGGTGGGTTTGGTTAAAACATAGCAAAAAAATAAACCGTTACATCCTTTTTTTTCTCTATATTTTCAGAGCCCAGCATAATAGTTCACAATTGTTTCCCTTCTGCCCAGAAATTATTTTGCTAAGTTCACAAATCTCTGAGGGTAAAAATAAAAAGTTGTCTTTGGTTTGAAACTATTCCTACTGATACATTGGAATGAAATGAGCAAAATTGGATATAGATGTATAAAATGGTTGAGATGGATGTGCTAATTGCAATAGCAGAATTGTTTCACTAAATTTAAAAAAAGTCATGTCTTACTGCCTTCCCACTGCATAGTAGTTAGTTCCACTAAATAAAAAAAATATGAGAAAATATTGATGTGACTTTTCCAATTTTGATTGGAAATCCCTAATTTTTCTGCTTCAGCTATTTTCCCCTGGGAGTATAATTTTCTCTGAATTTTTATTTTTGCCAAAATTTTAATGAAGTTTTAAAAATTTGGAAATGATTGAAAATGACCTTTACTGAAACAGCCCTCATGTGCATTCCACACATTCCTATTTAAATCGAGTATCATGCTTAGCCTACTGCACAGATACTAGTTCAGATAGATGATCTAATAAACGAATTACGTTTTAATTGGTCAATTATGCTAAGCCTAACGGTGTACTAGATGGAGGTTAAATCTAGGTCAAGATCCTGAATTTCAGTGAATTTTTTAGTCAAAATTTTATATTTTCAGTAAAATATTTATCAAAAATACGGGAAAAAAGTAATCTAAAATGTTACCACTCTTTAATAATACATTTCCTGTGCCTTTTAAATACTTTTACCATGTTTGGCCCATAAATATAAACAAAAATGGAAACCCAAAAAAAAACCTTTTTTGAATTTTAGGTACTTTTAAAAATGATAGTTGTTTTTTTTTTTGCATCGATAGTAATCAAATTTGCACTGCTTATATTTCAGTGTATATTAAAACTTTTGAGTTCTTAAGTACAGTTTAAATTAGCTTAATGTTAAAATTCTATTTCACTTGTTAAGTTGTAAATCTTCATTTTTAAAATAAGTTGTTTTTAAAGTTAATATTATAATGGAAATATGACAGGTCTTCATTGTTATTTAAAAGTAACATTGACTTTTTGTATTTAAAATATTATTGGCCTTTTAAAATTATTAATTAAATATTATAATGGAAGTAAGACAGGTCTTCATTGTTATTTAAGAGTAACATTTGACTTTTTGTATTTTGTATAATATAATATTATTGGCCTTTTAAAATTATTAATCAGTACAATGATGGTGTATAATGGTGTGACTAGACTGCTTTAGATTTCCTATATTTTTTTCCATGGTCTGGTCACTAAAAAATAAAAATAAATCAATTTAATTGAAAACTAGCTGGGGTAAAGTGACTATTATCCTTTGGCCTTTTATTTGAATTATTTATGTTCATGATGTGGAAAAAAAAGCAGCTGCTGAGATTTGGATGCTTTAAAAATAACCCCAATAATTTTTAAATATTCTGAAAAGTATTAGTTTATTTTAATAATCAATTTTTTGTTTAGCAAAATGACATTTGCAAATGTTCATCTTATATGTTTCAAATTCCTCTTCTTATGTAGAACAGTTATATATAACAGTTCTAACAATAGCTTTAGTAAAGATGTCTGCATTACTTGACTTCAGTATAAAGCCTTGTTGTCAGTCCACACAAAATACCTTAAAAATCATTTTTAGATTTAATAAAGCAAAAATAGTGTTACCTATACCTTTTTAAAATAAACTTTCTTTCCAATATTGTAGTCAAAGGTCAAATACTCTGTTATGTGTTTGTAAACTGTACTAGTGTTGGATGGAGATTCATGTAACTGGGTTCACTTAAGTTTATTGGAAGTTGAATGAGTAATTTTTAAAAGTATGAGCCCAGTGCTATAAGGATGATTAAGTGCAACAAATTTATGAAAAGCCACACATTTAGACTTCATTTACAAACTTTTAAAACCTAGTTCACTGTTAACTTCATTGAAAAAAATGTCATGTATTTCCTGTGTCAGAAGGATACATTTAATATTCAGTACATCTTGTATGAAATAAAACAAAAATGAGCACATTATTTTATTTTAGGTCGGTGCAGGAGGAAAGAAAAGTAGGCTCCTTCTTGCAATGTCATCTGCAGCTGAGTTTAGGGATTTCTTGTCAGATTTCTCTGACCACTACGCATCACTAGGTGAGCTTTTCATTCTTCATTATTTCATTTTAATAAATTTGCAGCAGCTAAAACAGTCATATTGGTAGTAATCTGTTGGTGGAATTTTTTTTTTTTAGGCCCCACCAATTCAGAAACACCTCCAGAAGATGGAAAACTGAAAAGTGAAATGATAGTTAAAGACAATCGTCGTTATTACCTGGATCTTAAAGAAAACCAACGTGGAAGATTTCTTCGGGTAACAATAGTCACTTGTTGAGTGCTTGCTTAGAGACCTGCTTGACATGATTACTTATTCAGATTTTTTTTTTTTGTTTGAAGTTAAATTTTGCAATTTATAGGATAAATCCATTAACATATAACAAAACTAGTGTTAAATAGTGCATTTTAATGCAGTGAAAATATAGTATTGAATAAATGTTTCATCTATTGAAATCACTCTGTTTTCTACCATTTACCCTGCATCTCAAAATGTGTTCTCATTTGTGATTGTCTTTTAATGTCACTTAGCAATCGATCACTTTTTTAGTTAAAAGAAGAAACTAATATCTTCTTGCTTGCTTTATAATTTTAAGATTAATCCTAAGAAACTCATTATTGTTTATTGAGACAGGGTTTATGATATTTTCATATAAGTTTAGATATCAAAATTTTTATGTTGTTGTGATTGTACTCATTGTCCAACCCCAAATGACCAATTCTCATCTCCTGTTTGCCTCACGTGTTTGCTGACCGTCAGGTTTCTGAACAGGTCTCCCAGACCATACCGCGAGGGGGTCCTCGTTCTCAAATAGCTATCCCTGCTCAGGGCATGATTGAATTTAGAGATGCCCTGACAGAGCTTCTTGAGGAATTTGGTACAGATGACCAAGGTGAGTTTTACATTCTTTTCATTTCAAGCTTTGTCTCAATGTTTTAGCAGAAATAGACAACTTCTATATAAATTATTTTTCAGGGCTGCCCTCTTTAGATTTCCTCAATTATCTTTAGGATTTAAATACCTAAGTTTAGGCGTTAAGTTTGTGTTAAAACAGCTTTGAGAATTTATTTTATTCTTGGACTATGATTTACTTTCATCGTTAAAAATTTACTTCATTCTTGGTGCATTGATTTACACTAAAAATTTCATCTTCATTTCCAATACTCCCTACTATGTCTCACAAAAATCCAACCTGCTGCTGTACTGAGGTCAAGGGTAGTTAAGTGCATGTTGGAAAAATACACTCTGACCCTTTGAATTAGATAGATGAATTAGATAAATTGACAGATAATGTTCTGTAGTTTTTGTTTAGTGCTTAAACCCTTATTTCTTTAAAAAATCTGAACATGCTCTATAACAGCTGCTTATGTTAACTGTTTAGCTTCTGCCACAGAGAAACAATTGCATTAATGCTAATATAATTTTATCTTTTCTGTAATAATTTGAAATTTTTTTTTCCCACAGAGCCTCAAAATGAATTACCTGAAAGTCGCTCAATGAGAGTGGAAAATAAAATGTTCTATTTTGATGTGGGCTCCAACAGGAGAGGTGTATACCTTCGCGTCTCGGAGGTGAGTGTGAGTATATTTTTAATCCATTCTGTTCTGGTTTTCAAGAAATGAGGAAAACTAGTCAGGAGTCATTTTTAACTAAGGCATATAGTTAGCAGATATGTAGTTCGTTTGTTTTTGTATCAAGACTATCTTCAGTATTAACACATATTAATGCCTTTTCCAATTTTTCTTAACCAATTTTTTCCCCTCTATTAGGTCAGAAACAATTTCCGTACGGCAATCACCATTCCAGAGAGGTCATGGGGACGGTTCCGTGATATCATTTCAGAGTTTGTAGACAAATCAAGCGCAAAGCCGGAGACTGAATAAAATGGCAGCCTTGCGTCTTGCCTGTGATATCTCACCTAACTCACTACAGATGACCTGCAGAGGAAATGTGCTTTGTGACTGGATGGCTTTGTGTTGTCTGCGTGATGTGCTGCGACATAAAAATGGCGATAGATAGTAACAAAATGGTCTGTGGAGTTTATTTCGATATAAAGATCAACCACTGCCAAGAACAATGTAGTTCAACTCCATACAAGGTAATTGAGGGTGGGCTTGGGGATGTAAAGTTTTGTTTTGGTCTTAGTGACCATGATTAACAACTGTAATTGCAGTTTTAAGTGGGTTGCAGCTTTTATAGCAAGTCTTCAGTTTTTTAAAGCTACTTTTAAAAATGAAAACCTGGTAATACTTATTTACTGAGTTATGTATCCTACCCTTGGTTGTTCACATATACTTTGGTGCTGTGGTTTTATACTGTTTCAACAAAAGATTACAATCTAAATCGGAGCATAGCTCTAGTTTGACATTACTTGAATACCAAATTACATTCATTTTTACTATCCTGTTACAAAGACTAATATGCTTCTCAAAGAAATTAAATTGTACACAAACCACAAATACTTTACTGCTTTACTTCAAAATTTAAAATCGTTTTTTCTTTTGTGCACCAACCAGTTTTATAGATACAAAATATTTATATTATTCAGAATAATGGGATATTTCTAGGATGTATTATTATAAACTAAACTTGTAATCAGCAGTATTCTTTTTTTTTATTCTAAAAGAATGTTTTAAAGTAAATATTTTTTAAAATATTTATTCTAAGCTAAGAATAATAGGTATTTAATTGTATGAAAATAAGAGGCATTTGTAACTAATATGAGTTGAGTTCATAATCATTTCTTTGTATTATTTCTGCATGAATTGTAAATTGGCGCATGTCATTGTTTTGAGAATATGACAGGTTTACATTTGATATAAATGTGGAAAATGAAATGAGTTTGGCCCACCTTAGTTGCAATTGCCTCATTAAATAAAACTGTATATTTAACATGTACAGATATATTTCTAGCATTTTATTGAGAACCAAAAATACCACACAGAGTACCAGTCTAAACATACGAGTATACATGGAACTGTGTGCATGATTATATTTTATATTTATATGATATGTATGGTTAGTTATATGACTGGTGGAGTAACATTCATTTCATCATATCATGTCTATATTAAAATACCATTTTTAGGTATTTGTTAGCATTATTATGTTCTGTGTATGCTTCCATTGTATCTCATGTTTGTCTCGCTAATGGATACATGACATTACTCCTGTGTTTCAAGACTTCAGAGCTTTTAGGCGATTAGTTATATTTTATGTATGGCATCAATTCACTTCTTGTCAGCATTTATGTTCTCTAAATTAAGTCTACTGGAAAATATTTTTTACCCTTCTAATTTGGATAGTATCTTGTTTCATTATTTGTCTGGAGATTTGCTTGACAGTGTTTGCAAAGGTGAAGGATAAGTGGTTTTTTTTTTTTTCCTTATGATCTGGCATACAAGTTAACATGAATTGTCTCGGTGAAGTAGAAAATATAGAATTGGACTTGAGGCATATTTTTAAAAAAAAAAAGGGTGTGACTAGTAAAAAAAAACATTGCCTTGTTTTAACCAAACGGTAGTGTTTTTTTTAATGGATTACTGAACTGTGTACAAACAGTGTGTCTGTCTACGAATGAAGCACATTTCCGCTGCAAGTGAACTTGTGGCGACATACAAGCTACTAAAGAAGAATTATGTTGTGTACAGGATTTGGTCGGTGTTTTGGTTTCTTTTTTAAATCTCTAGTGTTGTGGTGTTGAGTGGTACAGGGAAGCTCTTGGAATTCGGAAATAGGAACCCTTACATTTTCTAGATATCCCAGATTAGAATAGGATCATTATTTTAAAAAATTTAAGATGGCAAAATCTGAAGATGTTTATATACTTTGTTTAAGTTTTTAAAACATCTCTTATAAAATTGGTTAAGTCCCCTGCTATGTAAAAATTGTTTAATCTTCTGACACAAAAAAAAGTTTTTGCTGCCATTAGCTTCCCTGTACTTGTGTTTATTGTAAAGAAGGAAAAAAAGACAAAAAAAAATTAAAATAATGTACCTCTTGTTAATGATTATTGCTGAGTATTTTTGTATATGTTGTTTGATACTGGAAAGGAGGTTCTAGTTAGTTGTAAACAGGTTGCTGTCTGATGAAGCACTTATTGTTCTGCTTGATAACTGCACTTTTGGTTGCTGTACCTGGGGGTATGGCACAATAAGGTTAATATTTTCACTTCTCAGTTTTTTTTCCTTGAAAATATTGCAAAGTTTGTGCGAGGACATAGCAGTTGCAAAGGGTTAGAAGGTTTGTCTGCAAATCTCATTGCTTTAGATTTTTCTTTTTTGAAACTAAAATTTTTTTCTATTTGTTGAGTCAGAGAATGGTGTTGAGCATTCAACTTATCAATCACACCTCTTCATTTGTAAAAGTTTTCTTTTTTTTAAGTAAATACTAAAATACCGGTAAATTGTTAATCATTTAACATATTGAAACTGAAGGCTGTCATTTTGTGTTTTTTTTTTAATAGTTATTGTCAGTTTTGGCACATCTGACTGCTTATAAACCCTCAAAAACAAGTCATTCATGTTTTAGTTGAAGGGAAATAATCCATGTCTTGTAGTCTTAGCTGTGATATAACTTAGGAACTGAATTTAATTTTTTTAAATATTTGAACTTAATAGAAATAGCTACATTTAATCCAATTAAATATATATTCATTAAGACTATCACAATGGACCATGTACATTGTTTACAGTTTGTAATATGGTTTGACTTAAAAAATTATTAAAATTTTGTTACTAAATGAAACTTCAGCTACAAAAACTAATTAACTTAAAATGTACAGACCTTTAATTTCTTTTGACTTTGTAAATTGAGTTTGAAATTAGATTTTTTTCTCTATTTAGGTTCAATAAAACTCTCTAAAATTAGCAAACACAATTTTTTAAATAAGATGTTACTTTTTTAATTTGAGGGTGGGTGCGTTAACATTGGAATAAAACTTGTAGTTTATCCATTTTAAGCTTTTAATACCTTGTACATGTTTTGTATATTAATTACAATGTTATATTTTATGCTCACCATTTTCCCAGTCTTAAATTTTTTTCAAAGAATTTATTTTCTATTTGGTTCACTGTCCAAAAAATGTCATTTGGTTTTAGTCTTTTTTTTCATTTGTAATCTTCATAGTATTATATTCATTATCATATTCATTTTTTTGTAGCTTGTTTTAAAAAAAAAATCTAATTATTAAAAGCCATGTTTAATAATTGTTGTTACATGATGAGTATTTTTTTAAGATTCTAAATTCTGTCCAGTTGGTGTAAGCTACATTTACATAATTACAGACATCTATTTTTTTTAGTGGTATTCTTTAGTTTGTTTCAAAACTAGTTTGTTAGACTTTAGTTCTATGAAGATTTTTATAATTTTATTTCAATACTTAGTTGATCCACAACTAGGATTTAATTATAGAAGGCGCAGACAAGTTTTGTCAGAATCAAAACAATTTTGGGATTTACTTATGAGTAAATAGAAGAAAAAGCCAAGAAAAATTTTTGTATAATAGACAAACTTGGCTGATAGCCTTTCTTTATTAAATTGTTGTTGTGCTATTACGTTACTCGCATGGGCAGAGATAATCTGTTCATGGAGTTAGTATCTTTATAATGATCATATGTACGGGAGTACTGATTAAACACCATACAACTCTTTGAGTGCTAATCTTATTGATTGGTTATTGTCTCTGATCATCAGTCATGTTCACTCAAGTATTGTGTACAGTTTATTTGCAAGATCAAAGTTTTTAAATGGCACACACATAATTTGTTGTGCAACCATTAAAGTCTATACTGTATTTGTTCTGTTGCTTTAATATTTTGGCCGAATGCACTATACTACGCAGAACTTAAGAATTTCAATTCCATGCTGGAACAAGACGAAAACATCACTAGTTCGAAGTTATGATTAATTTGAAGTTGTTTATATTTGTTACCTCCCATGTTGAGTTTTTACGAAGTGAGTGTTGGAAAAATCTCAGGCAGAAAAAACTCAATAGTCCCTTGACTACCCAACTTATTTTTTATTTACCGATCTCGGTCAAAAACTGAAAAAAAGTAAAACTGTTTAAGGCATACATGTTTAAAATATATGTTACACAATTGTTTAAAATATATGTTACGTTTTCTCTGCCTGCTTGAGTCTTCTGATGTGAACTGAAAGAATTTGTTGTTCGACCCGAACAGGTTGCAGAATTGTTGATACACAAAAATTGTGTATTTTTGATGTTTAAAAAAATTACGACTTTGAAGGGTGGGTGACATCATTTTAAGTGGTGGGGGGGGGGGGGGGGGGATAAAAATAGCCTAAGCATAATTTCGTTACGTTGCGGTTGACCCCATTGTATTAAAGATAAGATTGTATGTTTTATTTACTCGTTCAGCTGGGTTTTTTTTAAGGTTAAGAGTTTGTTTTAAAATGTTTATCAATGTTAAATCAATATGTTGGCGTCCACATTGACACCCGCGTCCCTTAATTCTACACGAGTCCAATTTTTCTTTTTACACTGTTGCATTCCCCTCATGGCCGTTATCAATGGACGACCTGGGTGTCTTGCGGTCATTTTTCTTGTTGGGTGCGAAAGGTGGGGGGGGGGGGGAGAATGAGAGAAGCACATGGCATTTCCGAGGTGAGTGAAGTTTGGGGGGGGGGGATTAATATTTAATGTTTTCAATTTTGACCGGGCGTTGTGGGCGTTTACCTCAGAGGCGTAGCGAGGGGGGGGGGACATATGTCCCCGGGCGCAGACCTTAGGGGGGCGCCAAAATGGGTTGGAAAAACAAATTGAAATTTGAGGGGAGTGCACATCGAAAGTTTGAGGGGTGGGGTGGTGCAAATCGAAAGTTTGAGGGGGGGGGGGGTGTGTGCAAATCGAAAGTTTGAGGGGGGGGGGGGGGTGCAAATCGAAAGTTTGTCCCCGGGCGCCGGGAAGGGTCGCTACGCCTCTGGTTTACCTTGAGAGATGGATGAAAGAAGTACTGGGAATATCCCCTACAATGATTTTATATCTAGATCTACTACTGGCTGATAAAAAAGATTTGATAATGGCTCTGAGAAACGACACGAAATTTCCATTTTATGAGATGTCAACGCTTTTGGTGCACTTACTATTCTGGTGAATTGATTGACCTTGAAACAGCTAGACTTGAAAGAAAGTTGATCGCTTTACCATTATGTCAACATAGCTATACAATAGCCTAGAAGGTGGAGTTGGTATTTATATTCCAATACATGGGCAGGTATTGATTTTGTATTTTACGTATTAGGCCAAAGTAGCCGTATTATACAGGCTATCCAAATTAATAACTTAAAATGCGAAGAGTTTTAAAAATGTCTTAGTTTGTTAATATACAATTATAATCGTAAAATGTTAAATGACATGAAATGCACTTTGAAATTTTGTATTGATCTTATACTTATTGGTTTTCCTCGATTGGTAATTGATTGTTTGATTGATTCCGATCAACTTGACATGAGTTGTGTTTTTACGGCTTCGACCCGGGTCGGAGCGGGGAATGGCGTTACTTCCGGGAGCTCTGTCAACTTGATAATAGAATATTTTGGTCAATCGAAACACCGGTTGAAACTCAGTCATCTTAAACATAGCAGCAACGTGGGGCGTGGCTACAGATCACGCGCTCAAAAGGCAGTCTCGAACTTTCCGCGCTTAAAAGAGGAGAAAATTGATGCAAGGAGGCGGACTCCCTACCCCCCCCCCCCCATCGCATACTCCGTGTTACGCCACTGTAGCAACCATACAATTGACAATATGTTACTACTTATTAGTGCATTATTACATAAAAGCTTATTATTAAAACGTTTTTATGAAAAAAAAAATTGCACACCTAATACACATGATACGCGCGTATTGGTGCGAAATAGTTGGATAAGTCTGCCTACTAATTTGGACAAAATTTTAAATAATTCATAAATTTAATTAGGCATTAAATCAAGTCAAATTTTAAGTCAGATTGCATTGTCTTCATGTGTTGACCCACGTGCCAACTTTAAACCGAATCTGTCAGTTAAAAGTGTCCGACATTTCGCATGAGCGTTTTGATCTATAACGACAGACAGACTGACGACAGACTGGACGAGGACGCAAGTTAAATAAAAGCTTGTAATAAAATACCCTCCTTTCTTTCCTCTTTGCCGTTATACCGAAAATAAATCACCGAACTGTGTTGTAAAATATATATGTGGGTAAAAACAAATGTTATTCAACATTCAAATCGTAATAAATTTATAAAGGTAAATAAAGCGGGAGTGATCTCCCCTAAAATTTATCGAATATTCTTATATAACATTAAGTTGAATGGCGACTCGGGATTTAGACATGCTTTGTAATCATTTTTTTTCATACTTAAACTTTTTAAAATAGAAAAAAGCTCGTAGAAAAAAAATGCGCACAAGTGAACAGCAAACAATTAGTGTATTATAAATGCGGAACGTCAGTACTCAAATCTGATACAGAACTACAAATTTGATATAATACTTATATATGAAATTTCCTCAACCTAGCTGTAGCGATATTTAAGTTATCGTGTTCACATACAGACAGACACATACACACACACAGACAAAACAAAATTGCAAAACTAAGTTTTTCCGTCCCAGGGAGGTGTAAAACGTCGAGATTTGTGCAAATCTCGACAAATCTCGATTTCGATTTTCTGCACGATTACAATACTTCCTCGATACTTCGTATACAAGAAAGTAAAATACAGACCAAATATAAACTTCCATAGAAACAATACCATTGATTAACCGTCCGATACCACCCCCCACCCCGCTCCCACGGTTTGTCCCGGTTTCCCACTGATTACCTTTTAAACATTCAAGATAAATAAATCGGCAGATCGATGTCGATCCGATCAGTGCTGTATCGACAGCAGGAGAGAGCCAGGCCGTGTAGGGACTTCCTGTAATGTTTTCATCCGCGGTGTAAACAAATCCCATAATGCTTTGGGGTGGCGCACTAAGGGTTTACTGTCTAGAAACTGCTAGGTTGGGGGTACGGTATTGACTTGACGAATTCAAAGCGTCGGCTTCATTTACCTAACTGTTATCAATAACTGACATTTCTACGTATAGATATTCGTAAAACAAACGAATATATATATATATATATATATATATATTTATATATATATATATATATATATATATATATATATATATATATATATATATATATATATATATATATATATATAAATACATATCAGAGGCGTAGCGAGGGGGGGGGGGGGGGGGCGGGGGGTGCAGACCGCACCGGGTGACATCATTTAGGGGGGTGACACCAAGGCAAAAAATAGCATAATATAAAGAGAAAAAATTGAGGGGGGGGGGGTGCAAATCGAAAGTTTGAGAGGGGGGGGTGACACCATTAAGTGCCGCACCGGGTGAAACCCGTCCTCGCTACGCCACTGATACACACACACATATATATATATATATATATATATATATATATATATATATATATATATATATATATATATATATATATATATACCTATCTTGTAACTATATATTAAAATTAATTTATATCATTTTGACTAAATACCGAAAAAGGACTCCAAACATTTATTTTGTTTATTTAAGCGTAACCATAGGCAACCCGTTACGAAAGTTCAAAAGATTATAGAAAAGTAGCATTTTATTGTGTACAAGGGACTGTACTCTATACTTGAATTGAAAATAGAGTTAGCTCTTGTTATTGTTAAGCGCAAACCGCACTGAATGGGACATAATCCGGCTCAAAATGTTATGACTGACGGGGCGTACCTCGCATTGCATGTCTTGCTACTGAGATGTGAAAATATAATGGCCGCTGTACGAATTGGTGGACACACAATTCATGCAATTCATCTTTAATAGGGGTTTTAGGGAAACTTAAATGAAACCAATATTTTATTTAGGTATGGGGAATGGGGTTGGAGAAGAGACCAGTGTTTCTTCCAGGCTTTTTTCTCAGGGGGGGGGGGGGGCTTGATATTTTCGTGGGGGGGGGGGGGCGGTCAACGTTTTCCGGGGGGGGGGGCGGACACTAGTAAAAGTATATGTTTGCTACATAAATTCCATCTCGTTCGGGGGAGGGGGGGGGGGCGGAATAAACTCTGGAAGAGACATGCTTCTAATGGGACAAAATAAACTTTATTTGTGATTGAACAAATAGTCATACTTTATTTGTACATGGAACGAGAAACATACGTTCTTTTTGGAAAAAATCAATAAAAAAAATATAATAAATTTATATATACCTATTTAAATTAAACAAAACATGGTTTACTTTTAATAAGACAAAACATACCTGTGACAATTTGAAGCGTTGGAAGCGGGTGCTATGACGTCAGTAGGCCGGGTGACACACGGTGTGCGGATCCAGGGTGTCAACACACTTCCCGCCAACGATGTACTAAAGTAAAAGACAATTAGGTGTAACCCGGTTCATTATGATGTGTATAACTTAACGGAAAAAGTCCAT